TCCGGTATACCGGACCGTACCCAGGGTACGTTCCGGCAGTACCCTGGGGGACATATAGACCCTCTCAGCAGCACTTACAGATGTTGGTCGCCATGGTAGTAAGCTGTAGCTCCTCGTTCTCATTAACGATGGTGCGCGAGGCGATGATTTGCAGAATGCGATTACAGTCACTTAGCAGCTGCTCAGTACCTTTCCCTTGCTGTCGACACAACACACACACACATACATGATACAGACACGAGGCACGCGAGGAGCGAGAAGTCAGAAGTCAGACGAGTAGTAGCTGTATAGCCATTGTCACTTCTTTCTACTGAGGTATATAATATAGGTGTGGTTACGGTTTCCCGACCGACCCTATTTATTCCCAGCGACCCTAAACATTTTATTGTAAATTTTCTTTAAAGTAAAAAAAAAATCAAAAAAATGAATTGGACAGTTCCTGCTTCAAAAGGCAACATCCTTCGGACATGGTTCGTAAATAAAATATTTCAAGAAAATAAAATGTTTCCCCTACCTACCTACCCTATTTTTTTTCGGCATGTAACGGTAACCACACATATATTTTGTTATGGCCTAAGGTGATAACAGCTATATATAGCATTACTATAGTAATGTTGTTGTTGTTGTTGTTGTTGTTGTTGTCGTTGTTGTTGTCATTGTCGTCGTTGTTGGTTGTTGTTGTTGTCATTGTCGTCGTTGTTGGTTGTTGTTGTTGTCATTGTCGTTATTGTTGTTGTTGTTAACATTACAAGTAGCTGCATCTGTAAACCAAACACCATTCCGGTTCTCCAAGCATGTTTTACGAGTCAGGTCTATCGCTAAATCTAAGCATTAAATTCGGTGGCAACTAGATCTGACTCATTGGCACTATAGCACGCTTCGTGTGAAAGTACGCGCGTGCGTGCGTGTTAGCATAGGTGCAAATCGTAAGTCCATTCTGTTCTTAGTAAAAGAGCAATTTCACGACTAACAATTCAAAGTCTTGTCATTTTCTATGAATCATTGTCACATGAGTTTCCATACCCATGAGAATTAGGGTAAAACCGTTTACATTACATAGATACACCACGAGATTTATATGGAGTTCTGTTACTTCTGTGTGAAATTTGACGTACTTTTCCGGACTTTTTATGAAGTTTAAATTGAAAATCGCATCCACTTTGACACGAAAAGTATATACCCTACCCCCCTCAAATTTTTATCAGTTTTTTGCATCGATCTCAAGAATGACCAAAATGAAAACCAAAACCCGGAAATCCGCGGAAGATTCTCATACCTGGTGCATAACAAATGTTTCTTACCTTTTGTATTTCTAGCCAGTTTCCCTCGTTGAGCGGATTCAACATTGCGGAACACTGAGTCACAACTGTGCTCTATAAGAAATTAACCGATAGGTACAAACTAGATATTATTTACAATCACA